GTGGTTAGCACATTACAGAGATTTAATATTAGCTCAAATTATCATAAAAATTTTTCTGCCTTAGACAAGTTATTAACAAAAGAGATGCTTAAATAATTTTGAAGTACATCTTTTCCTCCTAAAAAAGTATTTTTGAATCATCTCCTCCACTTTAAAAAAAAAAGGTAGCTCATTCTAAGTGGTAGACATTATCAGAATTTGTGACATTTTTCCTGGGTAATTTATGTTAAGTATATGTATATATGACATGATGGTGTATGAAATTTTGTTAAATGTGACGGAACAAAAAGTAAATATAGTTGATGCTTACATTTGATCACAATGACATTATATAGCAGATGCTTTTCTCATTTAAGTTATTTGCACAGACCTTTGGAACCTAACCCTCAGGTCATACAAGCATTGCCCTTATTCTCTTTCTGAACATAATAATATTGTAGGATGATTTCAAACACATTCACTATTCAAAGTCCTTTTTAAAAACTAAGAAAGTGCCAGGAAGTGTGTATCTCCATAGTATTTCTTTATTTAAAAATTTTCTTTACTGTGGTAAAAGTCACATAACATAAAGCATGCTTTTTTAACCGTATTACTATCTGGTTCAGTGTACTCCGTAGTATTTTTGTGTGACTTGTACCTCTGGATGAGGTGCACTTCACCAGATGGTTTTTCTTTCAGAGGAAAAAGCTAAGTCCTTATGTGTAGGCCTACAAAGCCCACATGATCTGAGCATGCCTGCCCTAATTCCTCTTAGTCTTTCTGCTATTATTTATCCCCACTTCCTGACTGCAGCCGCACTGGCCTCCCAGCTGCACTTTACTCTAGAAGCTTTGTATTGGCCTCCCTGTCTTCAGTGGCCCTCCCTGATAAATCTACAAGGCTGACCTCCCCAATTCCTTAAGTACTGGCTTTCCTTCACCTTCTCAGTGCTTCTTAGCTCAGTTCAGTTGCTCAGTTGTGTCCGACTCTTTGCGACCTCATCGACTGAAGCACACCAGGCTTCCCTGTCCATCAACAACTCCCGGAGCTTACTCAAACTCATGCCGATCGAGTCCATGATACCATCCAACCATCTCATCCTCTGTCATCCCTTCTCCTCCTGCCTTCAATCTTTCCCAGCATTAGGGTCTTTTCTAAGGAGTTGATTATCTGCATCAGGTGGCCAAAGTAATGGAGCTTCAGCTTCAGGATGAGTCCTTCCAATGAGTATTCAAGACTCATTGCCTTTAGGTTGACTGGTTTGATCTCCTTGCAGTCCAGGGAATTTTTAAGAGTCTTCTGCAACACCACGGTTCAAAAGCATCAATTCTCAGTGCCTCTCCCTATTCACTATAGCTACTGTAGTGAAATTACTGTACTTCTTCATTTCCCTTTCTGTGTCCTCCTTTTTCCCTCCCTGAAACACCAAATGCTACATTGGCTTCATCATAAGTAAACTGAAGGCCTAAGTTCAACCACTCTTAGGTCTGAAAGACAGGGTTGAGTTTTGTTTGTTGAATAGGCACATCTTCCACCAAAAGTGCCTTTGTCCTTATAATTATCCAGTTGTCAATTATTTTACCACGCTTTTCAAAAGAAAGCACATTGACATAGAAGAAAATGTGTATTTTGAGGAAATGACATTGTAATAATATATTTTGGACTTAGAGAGCCCCATTCTTTCAGAAAGCTAATTTTGTGCCAAAGCAGATAAACTTGTTTATCTTGTTTTCATCTCTGGTTGGTCTGAATAACCCAGCTTATTAATGCAGACCAGAGCAGGAAAGGTTGAAATGGCTTTACACATAATCACTCAGATAGTTAGTAAAGCTGTTAAGAAGAGCACCCAAGTATTCTCTTTGTTCAGTACATCATCCTTCGTGGAGCTGTAGTGGAGGCCACCTCTTGTTATTATAAGTTGTCACCTCATCTCAGTTCATACCCATGGCAAAAGAAATGAAGAGTTATATTTAAAACTTAAATGGCTTTTTATGACTTTTTTTTACCTTTTAATCTAAAGATGAAAAATATTGTTTTTAGAGGGTGAGAACATGAACAAATTAGTTTTAGTCCTTTATCCACCGAAACAATATCATATGCCTCTTGTCTTAAGAGAGTGGGCATATTTTAAACCTGACTGTAATTAAATATTGTGACTATGAAGTGAATATTCATTTTTTACAGCAGGTAAAAAATAATGCAGTCGTATGTAGCATGAGGCAGGTAGGGTAGAGAGCTGTCTAATTTGGACCTACTGGAACTGGGATAGATTTTCCATCCAAATCAGCAGAAATGTAGCACTAAGAGCATAGTAGCAGCTTTCCTTTCTGCTTGGAGCTTTAAAGTCGAAGGTAGCTAGATCAGTTTAGCATGCTGGCCAGCCTGTGACTAATCCAGCAAGTTATTAATTCTGCTTTTCCCAAGGCTACTCCCCTGTTCCGAAGTGGACTTTGGTTTTTGGGGTATACATTCTTTTCTCAGCTTTGAAACAGTTATGAATCTTCTGGGCACTAAACAACCTTAACACTCAAAGGCCTTTTCTGCATCAGCAGATAAGTTGTGTTACTGTGGGGGCTGGGAAAGTCAAGAAGTGTAGACTTCCTCCTCTTATCACCAGTTGACTTAGCTTATTTTGTTTCCTTACTTTTCCCTCTTTAAAGGCAATTGTTCAAACATCAAAAGTAATTTAATTTCTTCTTTTTGAAACCAGTGACATTCTTTAATCTACATTAGAGTTGGGGGTTTTTTTGTTTGTAATACAGAAAGAGAACGTAAAGAAAAGTACAACAAAGAACATATTGTTAGGGTTTGAAATGTGGTTGTTCATTTTAGCCAAAATAATTCCAGATAGATAAAAGCATTGAAATATATTTACGTAATGAGTTCATATGCCTGAAAACTAAAATTAGATGTTTGGAAGACAGTAAGGAAATTCTTTTTTTTTCCTTAGCCAGAACATTGCAAGTCAAGGAAAACTGTTCACTGGATCATTTTATCTTTGCTAATGGGACTTTTTTCCTCCCAATTTGGTTTCTCCATCAGTTATTCCGAGACCGAAATATATTATATTGTAATAGTCAATCTCATGTGTCTTTCTAATGATCAGTAATGGGCAGAGGGAAGATGAGATTTTCTTCTACCTTCACCAGCCCCTGTCTCCACCTGCCTGCGCTTCAGATTGAATTGCCTGACTTAGATAGTCATCCTTTAAAGTCATGTTCCTGAAGTCTGAAGGTCTTGTTCAGTGTGCTTTGACAGACCAATTTGTTTAAATTCAATGCTTTGTGCCATTCCCATTAATTGTACTACCATTTTTTAGAAATGTGCTAGGATTCATGTGTGCCTAATTCTAAAAATGGCTTTGTACATTAAGGTTCATTTAACTGATGGTTACGGGGAAGTTGAGAGACTTAAAGTTATTTTAAAACATAGTAATAGCATGGAACTTTCTTGTACTGCAGGCACATAAGACACTATGTTGTCAGCCTCTCGGTCATTAGGCTTGTTGTGATTTGGCTTATATCTTACTGGTCAGGATGTCACTGTGAAGAAACGTTTAGTCATGGAAAGAAAATCAGTGTCCAGCATCAAAGATAGTAATAGAGTAAGCACTCCCAATTGGATTTTCATAGGCAGGATTGATTTGTGTGCATTACTGGGTCTGTGTAAAATGGTGTCCTTTTGGCACTAGCTGAATATAAATTTCAGGAAATGTTTTCTCTTCTGTAGATCAGTGTAATACAGTGAAATTTGCTGTAACTGAGGGGAGGCAGTGGTTGGGCGTCCGCTAATAGCCTGAAAGGAACTAATGAGGATGTGCAGTCCGGAACGATTGATTGAAAAGCTGCAGTCCTGTGTGTTGCTTTCTCGCTTGCTCTCTCTGCAAGCTGTAGAGAGGGAGGGGGAAGAGCAAGACAGAGGGAGGGAGCGAGAGAAAAAACGCTTTCTCTTAAGTGGAAGTAGCACGGATCCCAGGGGCCAGGAGGCCAGAAATGGAAGTTTAAACTGCATCTGTCTTTTAAAGGGAGAACAGCAGGAATCAAAATGTCAGTCTCCGGAGTCACGATTTACTCCTTATTTTTTAAGATCTGGAAGATAACACAGAATACTTTTTTTAGGATGTGTTTTTTGTTTTTTTTTTCTTGTCCATGTTGAGATTATCTAATGTTGTCTGAGAAGCTGGATTCCTATATGTCTGTCAGTTGAAGTGGAGATGGGAAGCAGTTGTGATAAAGGTATAATATGTATATATCTATCATCTGTGTGTGCGTGTGTATGTGCATATATATATGCATATATATGTATCGCTCTAAAAAATTTTAATATAACCTTAATATAGCGTATAGTAATTAAATTGGAGAATACCAGATCGTCTGCAAAATCTGAAACGCATTAGGTCAGTTTGCACAGATTTAGGATCCCAGAGTAAGATCTTAGTGAGGTCATACTGCCAGAACAAGGAGAAGCTGAGCTATTTTTATATCTGCATAAGCATATATGTTATTTTATCCTAGCAGCAGCTTTTCATCTTCTCATGGACTTTTGGTTGCAGGCTGGTGAATCATCTTATCTGCACAGAACTGAACTTTGACCTTTGTGCAGACACCATCAAATCATGTTCAACACTAGGCTAAATTTGTTCATATGAATATAAAAAATAGTTCATTGGATTCTGTTAACTCTTATATGGCTGACATAAAGCAGTAGATTCCTATACTGTAAGATGCAAATACTAAGTGAACTCAGAGATATTAAACATAGCTCAGAGGAAATTACTTCTTATATGTGCATAGACAAAGATACAAACTATCATGCTAAAGCAGATTCTTAACAGTGACCAAGTTTCTTTAATGTCTTGATAATATCTGTTTAGAGATAAATGACAAATTATATCTTAAATGTAGAATATAATGTATCTTTAAAGCAAGCTGATTTTTTGTGAGAAAAAAATAAATAATTTTACAGGTTAGCGAAAGATCCTAAATTTGGATTTTTATCGATGTTTCTTTTTTCTCATCCAGAGGTGCCAGCAGAAAGGTCCCCACGCAGACGGAGTATCTCAGGGACCACTACATCTGAGAAACCCAACTCTATGGATACTGCGAATACCTCACCCTTCAAAGTACCAGTAAGTGCTGCTCTTCTTTAAAAGAGTACTTTTATTCTTTTTAGAGTTAGAGATGGTTGCTAAGAAATCAAAACATTTTGCTCCTCAAGAATCTCTTTATCAAGTTACTAGTTAAAACCTATCATAATTCTTGTAAAGGTATGGGTAGAATTTTTTTTTTTAACTTTATGGGGCATACTTTTTTTTTTTAACCTAAGCAGAGAATGATAAGATTCATAAAGTTGCCGAGCAATTTATCAGAGACTTAGACAGCTGTGTATTCTAATCCTAAAACTAGGCCTGTGCTTTGCTCAAGCCATCTTTTAGACACCCAAGTAAATGCTTAAGAAATACCCTGGAAGAAGTATTCCTGTTAAAAATATTCTTTAAACTAACGAGACAGTACTGAGAGTCAGTATTGAATACTAAAGAAGGCTGAGATGGAAAACAGGTCAGCTGACCACCAGTTGCAGCCCTAATTTCAACCTCTTTGATATAACTTGGAGTAACCAGATTTTAATTTATCTATTTTCTTTGTTGATTGAATAAGAAATATGTTTACTTTCTAATCATTTCATTTTATTAAAATTAATTGTTTTTAAACTGGATAAGAATTACATCTGTGTAGTTGGCCATTATTATGGTTATAACAGAAATCAGTATAAAGTAGAAATAAGCCTTTTCTATTGGGGAAGAAAAAAGGATTAAAAAAAAATTCAGCCAAGTTAATATATTGTGTTTTTTATTCCAATAAAATTTTTTAAGGTTAGGATGACCTTTTAGGTAGAACTGGTATTTTGAGATGTATTAGCTGGCATTTACCTGTAAATTAACCAAAGTGAATGTTTTATTTTGCATTAATCCTGAGAAGCGAGATTTCTCCTTGTTATATCTCAGTGCCTTGTAGAGTTTGTGGATATCTATTACTGTGACACCTTTCAAATGTTTACAAATCTTCTCATTTTTAAAGATCACAAACAAGTGTTGGATTAATAGTCAATCAAATTATGAGAGGAATTATAAAATACTGGATGTTATACCTTTTATTAAATTTCTTTATTCTAGCAGACATAATTATGTATTTAAAATTGTTTTCATGAATGAAAAAAGTATCTTTTCTCTCCCTTCCCCTTGTTGTTTTCCTGATGCAACCAATTCAAATATAGTGAAACTATCTGTCTATATGCAGTATTTGGTGAAAAGGTTTGAGTTAGAATTTGAAGTTTTCATACCATTGTACTAGAATAAAATAGTGAATACTTAATTTTTTTTTTTTTAAATAACATCAGTAACTGAAGAAGACTTTCCCTCTGCAATGCCGTAACATTGAAGTACTTCCTGTATTGAATCTGAAGTCATGGCTGGGTTTTTAAAATTTGAATTAATTAGCAATAACAGTTTTAATTTATATTTAAACAATAAATTAACAGCTAATTTAATGTTGACCTTAATAATAAGACTAATTATTTTTTAGTAAAAGTAATAAACCAATGATGCGTATACATGAAGAATAGCACCACATACAGACCACTTACCTGGAGAAGGGAATGGCAACCCACTCCAGTATTCTCGCCTAGGAAGTCCCATGGTCAGAGGCACATGGTGGGCTACAGTCCATGAGGTCACAAAGAGTCGGACACGACTGAACAACTAACACACACAGAACACTTACTCAGGGCTGGACTTCGGGAGAGTCCTGAACCCTGGACAGCCAGGGAAGTCCCTCATTTGTTACTCTTCTCACAGTCTCGGCCACCTCGTGGATTTAGAAACTCTGAGGCAAAGAATAGGCCTCTGAATGGCAAATTGCAGTCACAAAACCCATGCACTTAAGTAAAATTTAGCGATTCATAAGTCTTCACCTAGACAATTATTTAGAAAAATAACTATCGAAACACACAGATTGCAACTTTTATTTTAATGGCACAAAATGTTTTTTTTAATTAAAAAAAAAAAGACAGTAGAAGGAGGAGGCAGAGGAAATGAGAAAACAAAGAGTCATAAAAACAACCTGAATCCATTTAGGATCAAGGCAAATAGCTTTATATACTTATCAATAGCCCTTAAAGGTCCCTTTGTATTACAGAATGGATGGTGCATAATGTCGTAATCGACATTGATAATAATAGTCCTGAATCATCAGGGAAAAGTGAAACTGTTTATACCAGGCTTTTTTTAAAAAGTGAAAAACTGTGTAATATTGTGTGATATATATCCATTGAGAATATTTAAAATTTTAAAGATATGTGAAGCTTTATGAACCTTCTTGTTCAGAAAAATCTGGTTTGTGAAGTTCCTCTCTCCTTGATAATGCTGGATAAATAATTTACATTCTTTTAAGAGAAACCAAAATGTGCTGGCTAAATGAGATACTGCAGTACTTCCACAGATGGTGTATGTTTTAAATCTCCATGTGATCCCAATAGCTAATGTGACTTTACAGCCCTTAAATGTTGCCAGAAGAGTGTATCTAGTTTTCAGAACAACACAAAATATTTTTGTAATAAATGTCACAAAAGACTTACTGGGAAAGCAGTACAAAAAGGAACCTAACTTTGAGATGCTTAACTTTGTTACTTTATATAGCACTTCAAAGATCATTTTTATGTTAACTTTATGAAGGGGCAGGGGTGAGATTTAAGCACATGTACTTGTGGTTCTAAGATTGAGGTGTCTTTGCTGACACGTGTCTTTATGGTGAACAGCAGGTACATTAACCATCAGAAGGACCCAAAAAGGAGCTGGTAGTGGACTCTCCAAAAGGACTTTATTCTTCCTAGATCTGTTTTTAAGCTTACTGAGGGAAGGTGAGGCTTCCCTTGTGGCTCAGATAGTAAAAAATCTGAAAGTTCAGAGGGGAGTGGAAAAGCTGGCTTAAAACTCAACATTAAAAAAATGAAGATCATGGCATCTGGTCCTATCACTTCATGGCAAATAGATGGGGAAACAATGGAAATAGGGACAGACTTTATTTTCTTGGGCTCCAAAATCACTGCAGATGGTGACTGTGGCCATGAAATTAAAAGACACTTGCTCCTTGGAAGAAAAACTATGACAAACATAGACAGCATATTAAAAAGCAGAGACATTACTTTACCAACAAAGGTCTAGTCAAAGCAATGGTTTTTCCAGCAGTCATGTTTGGATGTGAGAGTTGGATCGTAAAGAAAGGTGAGCACCAAAGAATTGATACTTTTGAACTGTGGTGTTGGAGAAGACTGTTAAGAGTTCCTTGGATAGCAAGGAGATCAAACCTGTCAATCCTAAAGGAAATCAGTCCTGAATATTCATTGGAAGGATTATGATAAAAGCTGAAGCTCCAATACTTTGGCCACCTGATGTGAAGAACTGACTCATTGGAAAAGACCCTGATGATAGGAAAGATTGAAGACAGGAGGAGAAGTGGACAATAGAGAATGAACTGGCTAGATAGCATCACTGATTTGATGGACATGAGTTTGAGCAAGCTCCAGGAGTTGGTGATGGACAGGGAAGACTGTCGTGCTGCAGTCCATGGGGTCACCAAGAGTTGGACACAACTGAGTGACTGAACTGAACTGAAGGCAGATGAAATTAGGTTTTTAACAAGTCTTGATGGAAATTGTTAACACTGGCACACTTCTTGAATACTTACTTTGGGCAAAGGATTGGTGATTCACCAACTGATATTGAAGAAATTATTGATACTTTCTTGGCACACTACTTGGTACTGGGGAAACAGAAATGAACAAAACAATTTCCATTCAAAAGAACTTATAGTCTAATAGCAAGAGACAGAAAAATGACCAAACTTGTAAAGAGGTAGTTGAGCATGGTAGCACAGGTTTTTAGCAGTTCACTATGTAAGCTGAGACTTTGTCAAGGAGCCAGTATTTCAGCTGCATTTCAAAGGCTGATTGAAAATAGTTGGAAGGGGGAAGGATAGTATTGCAGGCTGGGGGAATAGCATTTTGGAAAGATGCAGTTCATAAGGTGACTCTCGCCGCCAGGGAATATAGAAAAGTTTCACTGAAGCAAGATTTGGAAATCATGTAGGCAAAAATGGCAAGCTAGAAAGTGAAGAGGTAGGTTGGGGCAAGACTATGAGTGGGTTTGTTTGTCAAACTTAATGAAATTTTATTGGCCATTAAAGCATTAAAGATTGGGTTAATTGAAATATTTGTCTTGGTTCAAAAGCTGAACCAAATTATGTAAATACTGTGACGATTTGGTAAATTACTTGACTCTAACCTAAGTGACTCTTCTTGCTACCACTGTCTCAACTCAGGGTGATAGGTGAGTTGGGGCTATCATTCAATAGAAAAGTCAAGCACCCACCCCTGCCTATCAGCTGACACTCCCTGATAGTTCTAGAGTAGCAGATAGCATTAGGGAGATCCTCAGAAGCTAGTGGGTAAGAATTGCTTGTGTTGAGCTAACTACTGCTAGATAAGGCAGAAGGGAGCCAGGGAAGAACTATGGCAGTGAGCCCTTTAAACCTTTGTATATCTCCCTCATTCCCCCAAATTTATATTTTTTAAAAGTTAAAATGGATAACTAGTATATTCATGTATTAGTATATTCCTTACTTTAAATTTAATCCATCTTTATGCAGGTAGTAGACAGCAGAGTCAATAAGTTTAAATATAAGAACATAAGAAATGAAAGAGAGAACTTGTATGGCCACTGAACCTATAGCTTAAGGCGAGGTCTTGGCTTTTGGGAATGTTTAAATGTATTTGCCCTTTTATCTAATCATCTAAGTGAAAGTCATTCTGTCATGTCCAGCTCTTTGTGACTCCATGAACTATACAGTCCATGGAATTCTCCAGGCCAGAATACTGGAGTGAGTAGCCTTTCCTTTCTCTGGGGATCTTCCCAACCCAGGTCTCCCGCATTGCAAGCGGATTCTTTACCAGCTGAGCCACAAGGGAAGCCCAAGAATACTGGAGTGGGTAGCCTATCCCTTCTCCAGAAGATCTCCCCAACCCAGGAATTGAACCAGAGTCTCCTACAGTGCAAGTGGATTCTTTACCAACTGA